GCCCCGCATGGTGGCACGTGCCTGTAGTCCCAGATACCCTGGGAGCTGAGGCTTCAGTGAGCCTTGATTGTGCCACTGCACTCCAACCTGTGAGATAGCAAGGCCTCATCTCAACTATAAAAAAAGAAGGCTGGGCACAGTGGCTCATGCCTGTAATCCCAGCTCTTTGAGAGGCCAAGGCGAGCAGATCGCCTGAGGTCGGGGGTTCAAGACCAGTCCAGCCAACATAATGAAACCCCATCTCTACTAAAAATACTAAAATTAGCCAGGCGTGGTGGCATGTGCCTGTAATCTCAGCTACTTGGGAGGCTGAGGCAGGAGAATCACCTGAACCTGGGAGGCAGAGGTTGCAGTGAGCCAAGATTGCACCACTGCACTCCAGCCTGGGTGACAAGAACAAGACTTCATCTCAAAAAAAAAAGAAGAAGAAGAAAATAGCCGGGCGCAGTGGCTCATGCCTGTGATCCCAGCACTTTGGAAGGCTGAGGCAGGTGGATCACCTGAGATTTGGAGTTCAAGATCAGCCTGACCAACATTGAGAAACCCCATCTCTACTAAAAATACAACAATTAGCCAGGTGTGCTGGCTGTAATCCCAGCTACTTGGGAGGCTAAGGTAGGAGAATTGCTTGAACCCGGTAGGGTGAGCCAAGATTACACCATTACACTCCAGCCTGGGCAACAAGAGCAAAACTCCGTCTCAGAAGAAGAAGAAGAAACTGAAGTACAAGGCCAAGGGTACTTGAAGTAGGCTTAACTTCTTCCTGAAGCACCATTAGTACTTGAAGGTAAATTTATGTTTTTATACTTTAGGTACAAGTGATGAAATTCAAAGCCAGGCATAGTGACTCATGCTTGGAACCCCCGCACTTTGGGAGGCCGAGGCAGGAGAATCACTTGAGGTCAGGAGTTTGAGACCAGCTTGGCCAACATGGTGAAATCCCTTCTCTACCAAAAATACAAAAATTAAGCCAGGTGCATTGGCTCACGTCCATCGTCTCAGCCCTTTGGGAGGCTAAGGCGGGCAGATCACTTGAGGTCAGGAGTTTAAGACCAGCCTGGCCAACATGGTGAAACCCCATCTCTACTTAAAATATGAAAATTAGCTGGGTGTGGTGGCACACAGCTGTAATCCCAGCTACTCAGGAAGCCAAGGCAGGAGAATTGCTTGAACCCAGGAAGCGGAGGTTGCAGCAAGTGGAGATCACACCATTGCACTCTAGCCTGGGTGAGAGAGTGAGACTCTGTCTCAAAAAACAAACAACAACAACAACAAAAAAACCCCACAAAAATCAGCCAGGTATGGATGGCCCACACCTGTAGTTCCAGCTACTGAGAAGGCTTGAGGCAGGACAGTCTCTTGAACCCGGGAGGCAGAGGTTGCAGTGAGCCGAGATCACACCACTGCACTCCAGCCTGGACAACATGGCAAGACCCTGTCTCAAAAAAAAAAAAATCCAGAAGACGCAAACAAAAACAAGTGACAAGTAATGAAACTCAAGGTCAAAGATTAAGAACATGGACTTGAAGGAGACGGGACAGTCACTCAAAGGAAACGTATTTTCTTTTTCACCAGCAGGAGGACTCAGTAGGTACAAAGTTTATCAAGGGAGAAGCCTGGGCGGGGACAGTGATTGCCAAACGCTCCCCGCAGCTGTGGTTGCTCTTGCCTTGGGGACAGGAGTTCACTTGAGGTTACTGTTTATTAGAGAGCATCATATGTGGATCGCAGAACTCCATAGCCACCAACCTAACTCAAGTCCTGGTTGGGATTTTCACTGAGAAATGGTTGTGTGGCATTTTATCAATACATCAGCACCTCTGCGAAAAATGTTTGGCTTCTAATTAATCGGA